TCCTTCATATAATACGGCACCTATTTTTATTTAGGGTACCCCAAAAGGGACCATAATTTTGACAACCACCCATATGTATATCGTACATATCCCTACAGCTTGAGCCTGAGTCCCCCCTAGGAAAGTGGACGAGTAAGGATCTGCTTGAGGAGTGCAGGGCGCGGCGTTCGGAGGACACTGACGGAGACACGACGCCCCACGAGGAGATGCTTTGGGCTGCAGACTGGATCCGACGCGGCGAAGGAAAAGGCCTGCACTTGGACACCTGTAGCCTCCTCACCGTGTTCCTCACGAATTTGCAGCGAGGTAAAGGCCGCCTCCCTCCCAAGTCTGCGATGTCTGAAGAGGAAGTGCGTCCGAAGCGTGCTTGGGACCGACTCTGCCATTTGGCCATGAAGAAGAAGGGCACTTTGGGGGCCCAATCGCTCGTAAGCAACATCGACTTCTCGAAGAAGATGCTGGTCGATCAGCCACATTCCACCTTTGGTGATAGTCCTGCCTGGGCACAGACCATCATTGACCTTCTTGAAAGGCCAGAGACATCCATAGCAGCTGGAATCGTGGTCTATACTATGCTTGCCTGGACCGTGCTGTCCGTGATTGCCATCATCGTAGAACCGATGGTTTCTGGACTTGACGAGGACCAGTCGGAGAACGATCGCCTCTTCTGGCTGGGTTGCGACATGTTCTTCGCCGGCATCTTTACGATCGAGATACTTCTCAGGATAGTCGCGCGGTGTGCATTGCGGCCAGGATGGAGAACGCTGGCTGATTTTTTCTCACAACCTTTGAACATCCTGGACGCCATAGCCGTGATGGAGATCTATCTCGACCATCTGTTGCATCAGCCGGTCCTGAGGCTCTTCATCTTGGAGCGCTTCGCCCGCCTTGCGCGTGTAATGAGGCTTTGTAAATTCAGACAGTACGGGTGCCCCATGGTTGCGCCGCTGACAGCAGTGCTGGTGGTGATCATGGGTACCTATTTGCTGAACCTCGAGGGTATTATTGAATAGTTGCCCACTCTTATTATTACTATAATTATTACTATAATTATTACTATAATTATTACTATAATTATTACTATTATTATTTCCATATTATTAGTATAGTTGCCCACTCTTTCAGCATTTTGAAGATCTGACCGCGACATGCCGGCCCTGGGGGCCCTAAGGCCTGAACCCTAGGCCCCAGAGTCGAAGCCCTAAACTCCAAACCCTAAACTTTAAACCCTAAGCCAAAACCCTAGACCCCAGACATTTAAACCCAAAGCTGCTGAGCTGTCAGAAGTTCCTTGACAGAATCGCCGAAGCTGCGGGACCTGTCAGTTCCAATCTTTTCTCAACCCTAACCCTCGCTACTTGCCCAAAAGTACCTCACCCCCTACCCTTGAGGACCAGCTGAACTCTAAACGGGCATGTGATACGGTAGTGTATATGGTTCACATCCCAGTTTGGTTTGTGGTATCGAGTTGTAGAATAAAATTTTGTAGGGTCATCTGGTCCTTAAGGACACCATGTGCCTGCCTGGCATCAGCGCGCAAGCGCAGAGAGCCGGCAAGCTATGTACGTCCAGTGCAGCATGCCCTTGCCCGATCCTGTTCAACACAGGCATTGTGGGCATGATCCCTCGCAAGAAGCTCGGGAGGATCGGGGCAGCACCATTGAAGGTGCAAAGCAAAAGTCAAGCTGCCGAAGGCCCTTAAACCCGAGCACAGCCCTTAAAGGCAAGGGGATGATTTGTCGCTGATGAGGCCTAAATTGCATGCTTCGGGATAAAAAACTTGGACAATGAGTCTCAGATGACGAACTCCGGAAAGACGTTGGGAAATTTCGTAATACCCAGAGTCCTAAAATTCAGGGTTCCAAGACAAAAGTATCGCATAACATACCCCGAAACCTTGTCCTAATTCTCAGCGCCCCTGCACATTAAACCGTCAGGATTCTCATAGGATTTTCTATTGTTTTCTGGTGTTATAGGGCAGGTATTTAGGGACATGATTACTATTTTCTCAAACCTCAATAGCAGATCGTGCCCGAAAGTCGTAAACCACAACACCCCAAACTTTTCGATAAGTAATGAGCCCTCATCCCTTTGGGAACCTTGTAGAACCCTGCCTTGAACACAGCAAGCCTTTGACCCCAAGTCCTGAAGCCCTATCCCAGCATGAGAGTCGCACCGCTCGTCTTCAACCCAACTCCCCAGAACACAAAGCCCTAACCCGAATCCCTACTTGGAGCCCCTTCAGTTTCGACTGGAGGGGCTTCAAGTCTAGAACCGGCGCATGGAGTCCTCTTCTGAGGACGCTTCTTGACCCAGGTTTTACCTGGAAACCTTTGTTCCTTGTCGGCAACTTCTCTGACATTCAAGGAGGAATCACGACGACCATATCACAGATGATTGATTGCATTGGGCGCGTGGATGACGGCATCAACTTTGCTGTTGACACGTTGACACGAAGGCAAACCAAAGCCATGCTGGTGATCACCTTGAGCTTGACCGCCATTTCCGTTGCCACTGCCCTACCATACGGTGGGAGAAAGATGTTCCGATCCTTGATGCATGCTACGGGCTTGATCAAAGATTTCCGAGACAGGCGGTTTTACGCGAAGCAGCTTCGAGCAGAGTTAGGCGAACTCCTCGATCCCCAACCCGATGTTGAAGAGGTTGAGATGCCTTACAGTGCTGCGGTCATTGCTGTTCCATTCAATGGCGAATAGCAATTCGCGAAATATGACCCTGACTTCGGAGGTTATGTGGTGCATGATGGTGCATGATGAAGCCGACACATATGTGGCCAAGAAGCTGCATGTGTGTGTGCGTGTGATGACAAACAGGTATCGTCGTACAAGTGGACGTATGAGAAGTTTTCAGTATGCGACGAACAACCGCCAGATGGCGAAGCAATGGAAGCTCGGGTGTTGGATTCTCCCCTGCCCATCCCTATGCCTGATGAGCAAGAGCAATCACTTCACCTGTTAATGGCAAGGGTCCTTTATTATCTGCCAGACATGCAATCCGACGAAAGCGGCTTCATTGCAAGAGGAATCATGCAGAACTATGGTCTAGTATGCACTAAACCTTCTGAGCACACCTGGAGCAACAGCAGCGGGTCTAGATCCACGATGGACGTCGTACTTGTCTCCACGCCCACAATCGACCTAGTATCTGATGTAGCCCTTGTTGACTCGGACGTTCTTTTGGGTCGCGACCATAGAGCTGTCTCCGCAGCCTTCAAACAACCTGGCCCCCGACAGCCCAAACATCAACGCACTCAAAGATCCCGCAATAGATGCGGACAATGGAGGGCTGGTGGGACAGCCATACCAGCTTGCAACGCCCTCGCCGAGCAGATTGAACCTCGAAACCAAGATTTCAAAGTTTCTGACTTGGAACAACTGGCACATAGAGTACCCTACCGTCTTACGGGCCACAGATATAAAGATGCTCCCCATATCTTGAAGCTCATCAAGCAATGCAGATCTCCTAAAGGCCGGGAAGCTGGAAATCTTGGCAAGGACATTCTCCGGCTTCGCGCTGCCGCTAAGACAACCTGGCTCACTGAAGTTTTAGACAAGAGGTTCTCAGGGGGACTTCAGCGCTATTGCCTTTATCAAACGTAGGCAAAACGTTCTGACTATACACAACAACTAATTATGTCGTGCGCGCGCGGGGGGCTTGCCAAGGCCACGCAAAACCTTGAACTTTACTACCGTCTCAAATATGCGCCCCGTAACTCCTCCCCAGCCTCGGATTTCGCCGTCTCTCTTTACCTCCGACGCATCGGACTTTCCCCCCCGCTCCCCTCATTTCTGATTCTGAGGTGACCTCGTCTCTTGCCACCACTTGCCACCACTAAAGCTGGCAAATCATGCGGGGAAGATGGAGTTTGCTAAGAGCTTCTCGCACTTCTAATGCATATCGATTTGTCCACCCACTTCGTCGATCTTTTCAAGTCTGGTCTTTTCCAGACAACTGAGATCCCCAGCTCCTGGCACCTAGCACGCCTCACTTTTCTCCCTAAGATCAAAACCCCCTCCCTGCCAAAACATCTTCGTCCCACTGTTCTCTCTTCCACACCAGCCGAGGTTTGCACGAACGTTCTTCTCATGCGCCTTCGTCCACACTTTCCGCCCTTTCCGGGTTCACAGACACTCGATGGCTCCGTTTGTCTTCAACATACATTTAACCTCTCCCAAGGGTATCGCTGCCCTCTTGCAATAAAATTGGATGTTTCTTCCGCCTTTGACCACTTCTCACGATGAAATCGCTAGCTTTCTTTCTCTTAGCGCGGCTAGACTTGAATTTCTACTACTCCTCAAAATCATCACACTTTCCCGGGTTGCTCTGCCGTTTCTGGGGTCTACTGGCAGCAGAAACTTTTTCGCGGTTTGCTTCAGGGTTCGAGCTATAGCGCGGAGCTCTTTGGTCGCACACTGGACGATTACCTTGGTTTTTTGCACACTCGATGGTCTGTTTCCCAAGACACTTGGATTAGATCAAAGGACCCCGAAGGGCGCTTAACTACGGTTTTTGATTTGCTTAATGCGGATGATAACATCCTCCTCGCTACCTCCTGTGAACAAGCACGCGCTCTGCTTGAAGGTGTGATAGACATTTCTTGCGTGCGAGATATTTTGATGCAAGTTCTGATTTTTGCATAGCCTACAAAGCTGTGTGTGCACTAACGCCGGCATTTTCGAGAAGAGCGGAATATCGACTTTATGATCTGGCCAACAAGTCGCCTGACCATAGAGCCTCCAAATTAGCTGTCATGATACAGCCTTGTCGAATGTTGCTTCGGAATTACCCTGCAATGCGGGCTTGATCCTTCTTGGGTAGGAGAGAAAGCCTTAAACCTTAAATCCTAAACCCTAAACCCTAAAACCCTAAAGCATCATGACTGGCCCTTTAGCATGTCTCACATCGTCAGACTCCGAACCATATGCCTCGCCTGGTTTGTCCGAGTGTGAGCGCCGAAAGCCCCAAAGTCAATGGCACAGGTGCAGCGGCAGCCGACTCCGCAGGACGACGCAGTTTCCAGTCTGGTGGCGGTGATTTGGGTATTTTGGGTTGGTTTAGGGTTTAGGGTCCAACGTCTCAATGCGTCTTTAGGGTCTAAGGGATTTGGGTAGGTTTTGGGGTTTGCTGGTGCGGATTATTTTCGGGCCCTTGCGCTAACATACACGGGCGCTGCAATGTTTTATGTCTGGGGTTTTGGGTTGATGGGTTCGGTTATTTGCTTGAGTATCATTGTTTCAGCGAGAACTGAATAACAGTAAGGGCAAGCTGATGAAAGAAGGGGTAGCCACCGAAACCGTAGCGAGAACGATGGTGGCAAGTGTACCAATCCTACTACGGTTCAAAGTAAAAGTAGTAGTAGTAGTCGTCGTCGTCGTCGTAGTAGTAGTAGTAGCCGCCACGGCTCAGACGTTTTGGAAGTTTCGCGCTGGCTTTCGAACAGGCTCTGGATTCCAACCTTGCGTTGCTAGAGGTCTCAAACAGGCCTCTCTCCGAACGACTAAGGGTTGGTTCCTCACGCTGAGCCATGTGCCATGTGCCAACAGTTTGCGTCTGAGCCGCCAGGTCCCAATTCCTGGACCCAGTACCCTGTCTCAACACGGGCCCACTGGGCAGGCGGTAGGGTTTCCACTAGCCGCGTGGTGGAGGGAGTCACTCGGCTTGCCTTGTGACGAAATAGCGGATGGCGCTGCTCCCAGTGCACTCACAAAATTATTCTCAGATCAGGAAGAATTCTTTCAAGCATGTTTGCCGACAGGTGGCTGCAAGCCAGCAGCCTGTTTCTTACCGAGGTCAGGTTCTGACCCCAGCTCTTCTCAGGCGCATGGGCAACTGCCCACCGCAGCCGGGCTCCAAGCAGTCTTTTGCACCACGATCTCGGGCAGGACAGGCCACCAGGCCTCTCCGAGTACTGTCCTGGAATGCAGGCCATCTTGGCCAGCAACAATGGTCGGAAGTCAAATCATGGCTCTCCACTGAGGCACACCACACCTGTGATGTGTTCGTCCTGCAGGAGACCCACTGGCAGGCTACGGCCGAATTTAGTGTTGCAGGCTGGTACTGCATCTCGTCTGCTTCTGCTGCAGATCCGAAGGCCTCTAGACGAAAGCAACGCGGGGGCAAGGCCCATAAACAGTCACCTGCAGAGGCAATGCCTAATGACGATAAGATGACCCCACCCCGCAAGGAGCCCTCAACAACTCGCGCGGACGGGGTTATGGTTTTCCTGTCCCCACACATACTGCCCAAAAGTGTGCGCTGGCAGGAACATGTCATAGGCAGAGCCCTGGAGGTCAGGTTTGACTGGCACGGGGCCCGCATCAACCTGGTTGCTGTGTATCAACACGTCTGGTCACCGGCCAAGCAGGTACAGACCAATCGTCAGGACAGAGCACATGTCCTGAAGGCTCTTAGCAGATGCGTGCAACGCGTGCCGCACAGGGACACGCTTATCCTGGCAGGAGATTTCAATAGTTCCTTGCAAAAGCAGCCTAGGCTGGTTGGTCCAGAGATCATTAGCCCACAGGAACCGAGATCTGATGAGCCAGAGCTTACCAACTTTCTGCTTAATCATCGCTTGGTTGCCCTCAACACGTGGAGGCCTCAGCCGCCACATACGTTTCAGCAAGGGGATACGCGCACTCAAATTGACTTTGTGCTTACGAGGGAGGTCTCTGCTGGAGGAGCTGCCAAAAACTCTACGCCGCTGGCAGCTTTCCCGCTTGGAAGCTGGAAGAAAGGCGGGCACTTACCCATCAGTGCAGCTGTCAAACCAGTTCGGCACTGGAACCTGCCAGCCCCTCAGATACAGCAGCATCATTATGACACCGCTGCTCTGCAAGCGGCTGTCAGGGACAACACGCTGCCAGCTCAGCACATGCTCGAGTGGGTTACAGCACGACTCACTCCGGACATGCAGCCGGCGTCATGGGATCGCCTCCTTGGCGAAGCCGCATCCAGGTTTTTCCCTAAGACCCCAGTGGCAATGCCAGATAGTCCGGAGACGAGCCTTGCCAGACGCATGTGGCGCTCGGCACGTGGGAGCAATGCTCACCCCAGTGCGGAGCCATCGCCGGAGGATGAAGCCCGGCAGAGGCTGTGTGATCAGCATAAACAGGCGGTTAAGCAGGCTCGCAAGGACCAGACCAAACGGTTTCTTGCTGAGGTTGATCAGGCTCTGAGCCAGGGCGATCAGCACCTGGCATATCAGACTCTTAAGCACCTCCGGCCGTGGAAACCGGCTTTGAAAGCTCAGCTTAAGGACGCGCACGGCTTCCTGCTCAGTCCTGCAAACGAACTGGATGAACTGGGGAAGTATGCAACTAAGGTCTTTGCGGCGCACCCACAGCTCCCGTCTGATTCGGGACTCCTGCCCCTATTGCCACAGACCAAGTTAGCAAAACATATTGCCTCGATCAAGCCTAGCAAGGCAGTTCCGAAAGGAGCGGCACCGGCCGCAGCCTGGAAGCTCTGTGCTCAGCCGATCTCTGCGGCGCTTTCACAATACTGTTCAAGCCTGACGCAGGACCAGTCACTGGACGACGATCTGACTCGCGCAGATCTCTGCTTAATCCCAAAACCGGGCAAGCCGGCTGACAAGCCTTCACAACTCAGGCCGCTGGGCATTCTTCGCCCGGATGCTAAAGGACTGGCGGGCACGGCCAAGGAGCTCCTGGAGCCTTTCACGCTGCCATACATGAAGCCTCTACCCCAGTTTGCATACCTCCCTGGGAGAGGTCTTTCGGATGCACAGAGCAGAGTGGTTCAGCATTTAAGGGAAGCAAGGCAGCTCTGTCGCAATGCGAATCTCACCCGAGCGGATCAGCAGCGGGGACAATGTCCTGTAGGTCTCGTCGGCGGCATCACTTTCGCACTAGACCTGTCACAGGCATTCGACACTGTGTCCCGAAGTGAGATCTTGTCCCTGCTAGATGAGCTGGGCGCGGATCCCCCGCTTAAGAAACTCATACACGGCCTTCATCATCGATCTAAATACAGACTTCATTCTCAGGGGGCCTACAAGGACGTGGAAACTACCACTGGCATCAAACAAGGCTGCAAGTTGGCCCCCACGCTGTTTTCCGTGCTCACAGGCCGCCTCCTTCATAGACTGATAGACGCATTTGGCTGGGACAATGTCCGCAGATACTTTACAGGTTACGCGGACGACTTCACCATGCATCGCACCATCCGCAGCCAAGCAGACGTGGACGCTGCTCACAAGATGATCCTACAGCTTCTGTCGGAGGTGACGAAACTGGGATTACGCGTCAACCCGGCCAAATGTGCCATGCTAGTCAAGCTTAACGGCAGAGAGGCGGAAGCCGTGCTTCAGAAGCACACCTGCTGGCTGCCCGACTCGACGGGCACACTACAGCGGCATTGGCGACTGGGCAAGCACAGATCCTTCCCTGCATACAAACTTGAGGCGCAAATCAAGTATCTGGGCATCCAAATTTCCTATGGGAACTTTGAAATGCAGACGCTGCGATTCCGCATAGCGGAGGCTGCCAAAAAGCTCCAGCAGGTCAAGCGCCGCACCGCGGGGCCAATGGACAGGCTAAAGGTCTGGTTCACCACCGTTTGGGCCACCTTGGTCACGGGACTCCCCGAAGTCGGCCTCACGGAGGAGACGGCCAGGCATCTTAGAGGCTGGTATGCACACAAGATACGCTCGGTCCTCAATCAGCCTGCACACGTCGGCCACACACCTACAGCTGACCTGTACCGACTATATTCAATCCAAGACCCGGTAGCCAAAATCCAAACAAGGATGGCTTCTAGACTCAAGCGGTTGTGCAAGAGAACAGCCCCCTCCGAAGCCACCACTACAGCCCTGCCTGCACACACTCCCAGTGAACCCTCAGCGACGCGGGGCCCATGGGCCAGGCTGAGTCCACCAGCGACGGGCCTAGCAACACACCAGCAGCCGTCTGAACCACATACATACGGTGACGTCACGCAACTGAGCCACGTCGTACAGGACCTACAGGACATGCTGAGAGAGGTGGAAAACCTCCCGGCGAGCACCGAGGCCTCACAGCAGCGGCTACACGCCTGCCCTCACTGCGAGTCGGGTTTTGTCTCTGCACATGGCTTACACATGCACGTCACGCGAATGCATCGCGAGCACGTGCAAAGGTACATTCCCCCCTCCTTTGATCGCAGTCGGCACTCAAAGGATGGTCTACCTGTATGTTCTGCATGCGACAAGGCTTTCCATCAATGGAAAGGCCTACGTGACCATCTCTTATCGGGGGCCTGCACGCAGCCGGAACGACTGCGTCAGATCTCTCTCACCACTGAGGAACAGATGCAGGGTCAGGCCCTCCAGGGCCTGGCGGCCTTTCGCGCCAAGGTGCAGAGTTCGCCCAGCAACAAACTCAGTGCCATTGCCACCCGGCCAGAGGCTCAGGAGCTTAAGCATCGGTGCATTTTGTGCGGTTTTTGGACCCCGGACCATACCAAGATGAAGAATCATCAACGACAGGCCCATGCACAAGCATGGCAGCGAGATGGTCCGGCAGCACTTCAGCTTTGCAAGGCCTATTCTGTGCAGATGATAAAGGGGCACCCCTGCCCCTTTTGCAGGCTGCCGGTCTATGACAAACGCAAACACCCTGAGCAATGCATTGTCCTGTTTCAGGTTCTGCTTGGGTGGCACAAGGTGCAAGGCACGGACAAGATGCGGGAACAATGTTCCAAGCCTCATCCCAAGACCGCGGTGACAATGTCACTTAGTGGCTTTTTTGGGGCTGCAGACAAGCCAGCTACCGCGGCTGCATCACCCACTGTTGCCATGGCAACGACGGGCGCCGTCGGCAGCACTCTCCCGCCAGGCCTGTATTCTCGTATGCGACACATGGTGAACTCGGGTAACACCTGCTATGTCAATGCGACCATTCAGGCCCTACTAGCCGCGCTAGACTCTGCGTCCAATGTAGCGGAACTGGGACCACTGGTCCAACACTGCATCAACCCGGAAGCGGATCCAATGGATACGAGG